GACTTGGTTGTGTAATTCCATGTTGCCACATATAAGTAAAAATTTCTTATGGGCAAACACTGCTAAGGAAATATGGGATGGGGTTGCAGAAACCTATTCACAAAGGGAGAATGTTGCTAGGGCTTATCAATTGAGACTTGGTTTGTGATTACAGTAAGAAGCCTAAACATACAAGAGATACTTGCTGGAAGCTTCACCCACATCTTGTGTCGACTAGATTGAGAAATAAGAAGGGAAATGCGCACATGGCAGTTACCGGTGACACTCCGGCCCCTCCTACTACAGCTGCTTTGGAGTCTGTTGCAGCTGCTGCAGTAAGGGCCGAACTTGAGAGGTATGGACTACTTCTGAACCAGCGGGATACAGCTAGTTCCAGTTCAGCCGCAAGAGGACAACAAGGTACAGGTGGCACTGGTGAAGCTCACTCTACCTCCTTTGCTCACACAGGTAGTTCACACGTCACTGCAAATTATGTTTCCACTTCAAGTAAGGAGGGACCTCCTTGGATTATAGATTCTGGAGCCTCGGAGCACATGACTCATAGCTCCACTATTTTTTCCTCTTACCAGCTCTGTTCTGGCAGAGATAGGGTCTCCACTGTTGATGGATCCCATGTTCCTATTGTTGGGAAGGGATTTGTCAAGATTAATGATTCTATTTGTTTACCCTCTGTCCTTCATGTTCCCAAATTGAGCACAAATTTGTTATCTGTTAGTAGTTTGACTAAGAATTTGAACTGCTCAGTAATTTTTTCTCCTAGACGTTGTATTTTGCAGGATCTGGATTCAAAGAGGACGATTGGGAGTGGTCGTGAAGTGAATGGAATCTACCTCCTGGACAAGACTCATAATAATCTTAGCAGTTGTTAGACTTAATAATCCTAGTAGGACTCAAACTAAGATGTCATATCCTATTTCAATTCAAAGAAGATTCAATAACTCAAATCCTACTTATGCAATGACTCTGAAATTTTAAACATAAACAAACTATAACTAGACAATCAAACCCTATTATTGGACCCCCACAGAAAATTACAAAATGACAAAAATACCCCTACTGTCCAAAAATACAGAAATACATAATATCATAAAATTCCGATTTTGACTCTTCACCTCCCGCATCATTCTCCCCTGGTGAAGATGAAAAGTTGATATGCCCCAATTACAAAAGGAGTAGAACTTCCCACAGCTACATGCTTGGATTGTAGAGTAGAGGCCACACAGATTTAGAAAAGGAACTTGACAGAAATGTATTTCTGAAACACTGCCCTCCATAACCATCTTTGTTAAATCATTAATAGCATTAGTTTCTTGAACACTTAATTCATCAACCAGCGATTGTGATGAATCTTCCCCTCGCTTATCCAAACTCTCAACTACAACATTTGGAACTTTTCCTTCAACCTCTATCTTAGGAATCACCATCTCTATGTGTTCTACTATCCTTGGTTCTTCAACAAACTCTAGGACTCCTTCAATTGTTGATGTTGGTGGAACTTATGCTATGTTAGGTTGTAATTCTTGAATTGGTTCTAGTTGAACTTGAAAGGTAAATTCATTTACTTCCTTACTAGGATCTACTACTACAATCAACACATTTGTATCTTGCACCTGAATTTCTTTTAACTTGCTCCACTTCTATTTCTTCTTGATCATTAACATCAAGCTGATCATGGGTGTTGGAAACTCCAGCAATTTCTATTTTTTCTTGGCCTGCACCCCCTTGATTTTTAATATCTACAACTTCTATAGCTTGAAATTCTTCTTCTTTAACTTCATCCTTAACTTCAGCTCTAGGATAGGCATCAACAAGCAAGGAATCATCTACTTTCTTTTCAACTTTGTACCTTCTTCCAATTGACTTCAAGTTCTTTGTTGTAACCTACTGCTTCTTCTTTTGCTCAAAATTAGTCAACTCCATATGTAGATCATTATGGAACTCTAGTGGGATGTACTTTTCTTGCAAACACCTCTTCATCTCTGCCCATGTACTAATTGGATCATCGCCCTTATTTTCTAGTCGTTGCTCAAGAGTTCTCGACCATACTTTAGCATGACTCATCAGCTTCATGTGCGCAAATCTAATCCCTTGTTTATCAAACATATCATGCCAAGAAAAATATTCTTCTAGTTCAGAAACCCAATCAAAGAATGCTTGTGGATCATCATCTCCTTTGAAATCTGGTATTTCCCTTTCTCTTCTAACATATTTGAAAACCTTACTCCCGCAGCTAACATTATTAGATCTATTTTCTTCCATCATCTTCTCAAAAAAGTCAACCAAAGACCCTTTATATGGTTCAGAAACCCAATCATCATTGATTCTAGACCTATAAGATTGTCTATAAGATAACCTAGGCCTATAGAATCGGTCACTTTGTGAGAACATAGTGAATAAACCATTAGCTCTGATACCAAACTGATGTAGGACCAGCTCAATTCTAGTCCTTAGAGAATATTGAATGGTCTTCTTTGATCAGAATTTTATGGTTGTTGATGGTTGTAATGGCTTTTTGAAGGAATAASAGAGAAAATAGGGAGAGGAAGAAGAGAGAAAATACCTGGAACCACTCATAGGGTGCCTAGAATCACTCTAGGGCGCATGGGAATCACTCACCATAGTTAGCATAAACTGAAGAAAACTCAATATATTTCATTGCTTTGTGTAAAACGCCCATACATATTTATAGACTCTAAACTCATAATAATCCTAGGAATCATACTGTTAGACTCATAATAGTCTTAGGAGTCAAACTGTTAGACTTAATAATCCTAGTAGGACTCAAACTAAGCTGTCATATCCTATTTCAACTCAAAGAAGGTTCAATAACTCTAATCCTACTTATGCAATGACTCTGAAATTTTAAACATAAACAAACTATAACTAGGCAATCAAACCCTATTATTGGACCCCACAGAAAATTGCAAAATGATAAAAATACCCCTACTGCCCAAAATACAGAAATACATAAAATATCATAAAATTCCAATTTTGACTCTTCAGATCCTGCATCAAGGAGCTTCTATGCCTTTACATCAGAGATCCGCCCCATTTATCAAAAGTGGGATGCATCCAAATCAGTCCCCTTCTGAAAAGATCCTTGATTCTTTAAAGTCCAATATGATCCATATTTTTGTTCCTGTTTTCAGTGTTGTGAAATTAAAAATAAAAAATAAAAAACTACATGAGCTTCCTTGAACTGGAGCTTCTAAATCTGAATTTTCTTAGTTTCAGAATTTCTTCCTGCCCTGGATCCTTAAATTTGATTTCAACAGTTCAACTGCACCATATTATTAAAGATCTGGTCAACCTTAAAGCTGTCCTACACCACTAGCCCATAAAATGCCCTTATTTGTCTAAAAATAAGAGACTAGACATTGAATAACTATAGGAAGAGTTTAATGGTAGAAGAAGGAATATGTAACATAACTGTTGTGAAATACAAACTATACAATAAACAACCGGATCACCATTTCAACAGTCATTTAGTTGCTGACAAGAAAAAATATCATTGCTTTACAATCAAAGATCCTTACCAACCATAGTCATAACTCATAAGTCAATTAGTTTCTGTTGGAAGACCATAACTGGCTTCATAATACAGGTCTAACACTACTGGATGATCTCAACTTTCTGAACACTTAAATATTGATCTTTATATAAGACAGTTAAGATCATCCAAGTGTTGTGATGTTTAATGTAATCCAGGCCCACAGACTGAAAAATCTTCCTCTGTTTTTAAGATAGCATCAACTAAGACCTCTATCAAAAAAAAAGGATAGCATCAACTAAGATAAGTTGATCGGTTAAGCATCTGGTATAGGATAGTCAGCTAATTATATATAAATCGTCATGTTCTATTCTATGACATATTTACCTCTCACTGCGGTGCCCACAAGCTATGCATTTAACCTTCACATATCCACCAGGATCCATACCTCCACTCTTGCTCGTATCTGGCTTAAGAAGTGTAGCAGCCTCCCAGGACAAAGATGTAACTATCTCAAGCCAATTTTCCTTGTCATCTTCCTCAACCATAGGTAGGTTTTCAACCTGCAACAGCTGAGATACCAAAGCCCTGAAATGCCCATCAACCACATTTTTCATGGCTTTCCTGTGCTCCTCACTTGACCGGTCTCTACTGCGATATTCCCCACTGCCAAGGTTGCTTGAAGAGCGTAAATATCCCCATTCTCCCGTGGCACCATCATCATCATCATCATCATCATCACCACCAAATAAAACAGCTTCTCTCTCATCTTCTTCATCTTCTGGTTCAGGAGGTACCCAGAGAAGCCCATTATTCTCAAAATCTACGGGCTCAGCCTCCATACCCTCCACGCCATATAAAGAAGCAGAAGCTTCACACGCATCACCACGGTCGTGTCCTTCAGTTTCTTCCCCCTGCTTCTTGATTCCTTCCAGCCCTTGTGAATCTAAACTCTCATGTAAAGAGGAACTGCTCAAACCTGTTCTTTCGATGTTTTCAGCATCAGAGTGCACATCATGTGGTTCATAGGCATGATCAATCTCATCAAACTCAACAGAACCATAAAAGTCATCAACCTGATTAAAATGCCTTGCTTCAGAATCTGATTGATAATCACCATATTCATCGTCTTCGTCATCATCATCACTCCTGACAACAAAGACAAGCATGCAAACGAAGTAATCCATAATAACATATTAAGAGCGTAACTTGTTTAAAACAGACATGATAGTAGTTGTGAACTACTATGATGCTTGGTAAAACATATGATAGAAAAAGAGACAATACAAAAGCAAAACAAAAGGAAATGATCAGTGCAATCACAAAATATCATCTAACCCTAGTACTTTTCCAAGTTGAAGACAAACAACCTCTTTTGTCAATTAAACAGAATACATATTGCAGGCAAATCCATAAGAGTATAAAAGAGCATAATACATACATACATGGCCCCTTTCAATCAGAGGCTTGGCCATGAACTGAATGGCACTCCTACCATTGTTTAGTACAACTTCTGCTATCTGATTAATAAAACACACTAAATATGCGGAACCTAATATATATCAAATTATAAGGTGGAAAACATTATGAGATAGATTATTCTTGCTCATGTAGGTACCATTTGAAGGGCATGAAGCCAACAGAAACTAATAACAAGGGCAGAGGAAAAAGGATACCTGTTCATGCAAAATACAAATTGGCTAGGAGATGGATCTCCTATGTCTGCAATGGGATCTGTGCTGCTCCCAGATGCTGCTATGTCATGTTTGTCTGTACCAAATTCCATTTGAGAAGACTGTCTAGGACTGAGACTAGAACTATATTGCACCTGTTGGTAAGGCCCAGTAGAGAATGGCATTGAATTAACAGTGCAGCTGCTGCTGTTACCAGTAGCTGTAGATTTGGTACTGACCAAACTTGTTGCTGATGGTGAAGGACTGAGACCTGGACTTGATGCTTGAGCCCCATTATTGACCACTGTTTTACCCTGTTCCCATTGCTTGAAGCAATAGTTACAGACTCTTATCCTCTCCCAATCTTCACAGCCAGTATTTGGTTCATCAGATGGGGCAGGAACCGAGTTTGCAGTACACTTTGCACAGAATACTCGACCACATAGTCGGCAATGGTGCCTACGGTTAAATAATGTAAACTGGGAGTCACAGTCATAGCATACCCTACAGCTTTGATCAGGCATCCAAAAATCCCTCGACAAATTTGCTGGCTCAGTCCTTCGAGGGATCCAGGATTTTACAATGCCAACTAGTTCAGAGAACCTATTGTCAGGGGTGCCCATTGATGGATCACCATCCATGACTCAACCATTATAAATAGCTCATTGGCCACTGCTAAAAGTACATAGCTAATTACCACCCTGGGACCAGCCAATATCAAATTCCAAATGATCCAAGCATGATATGAAACCACCTAACAAGAATTTAATTCAACCTCACCAACTTCATGCCAATACCTCACAAGCCTCTGAAACTGAATCTAATCCATGAAAACTAATCACATTGCAAAAAAAAATTTAAAAATGAAAAAAAGCATTGGCTTCAGTGTCTCCAGTTCTTGCTTGTCCAAGTCAAGTAAAAAAATGGGACCTGGATCAAATGCTCAGAACCAATTACCAACTGTTGAGCAAAGCATGTATACTTCAAATTAGAGGGAGACGTACTCCTAGAAAGGAAACATAAGATAACTGAAACACCATAAATTATTCCTGCTTCTGAAATTCAAAGCCAAATCCGTACAACAAAGCTACAATTTCAAAATCTTGAACTGACACCAAGGAGCCTCTTTGGTCTAAATTATTCATATAAGTTATGTTGTAAGCATCAAAGTCAAACTCATGATAATTCTCTTGGAACTTCAGATTAACCAATTGAAGACACAAGATACTTCAAAGTTTAAAATTGCATCTCAACCAAGAAAAAATAATGAAAATAAAACCAAGCCTGTTATTAGCCTGCCCAATCCATAGAAAACAAACCCACAGAAAGAAAGGTTAACAAAATTGACTACTGATTGCAATTCAACTTCTAAACCACATCTCAGGTTAAAAAGGCACCCTCACAAAAAAAAACTGATATCTATCTGTCATCAATGAAATCAACCCCTGCAGAATCGAACAATTGGCATTGCAGACATCCATGTCACCTCTCCGAGTCCAATCAACTGAAATGCTTCGCTATGCCAGTCCCGTTCTGTAACTCCTGAAAATCAGCACTTATGAACCACCGTCTGTTCCATTGTACCCAATTCCAATATGGAGCCTTCGGAAACAAGTGAGACGTGAATCAGGACATTTAAAACCAATGTTCCCTACAAGACCAATGATAACCCATCTAGGTCCTCCAAATTCTCGTCGAAATCACCTTCAAATCCAACCTAAACTGAAATTAAATAAGGACGTCGATTTACGACACAGAATCAGAAAAAGAACAAAAAAAACGTCAAAGGTTCATGCACAGAAACCCTGGAAATAATAAACTGGAAATTAGAGAAAGAGTTTTTGAATTGATCGCAGACGCAAGGTTTCTCGTTCTCAGCCGTTGAAAATCGGACAACAAGAAAATGGAGAAAGGAATACACATAGATGTCAACCGGCACCTATAATTCCCCGCATTTTGGAGAAGTATTGCAGCAAGTCGATGAAATGAGATTTTAACAGAATTCACGGTTATTAAATGAACATAATCGTGAACGAAATTTCAGAAAAAAAAAATATTACCTTTGTAATTTATTTTGTTTTTTGTCTTCCGATCTCCTGCCTCCCTTGCTTTTTTTCTTTTTTCTTTTTTCTTCTTTCTTCTTTCTTCTTTCTGTCTTTTGGTTTTTTCCCCTGTGGCAGAGAAAGAGACCCACGGTTATTAAATGAACATAATCGTGAACGAAAATTCAGAAAAAAAAAAATATTACCTTTGTAATTTATTTTGTTTTTTGTCTTCCCATCTCCTGCCTCCGTTGCTTTTTTTTCTTTTTCTTTTTCTTTTTTCTTTTTTTTTTGTCTTTTGGTTTTTTCCCCTGTGGCAGAGAAAGAGACCCTTGTGGCCTTGTCTGTAACCGAAATTTTAAAAATTTTAAGAGAGAGAATCTATATATATATTATTAAAACTGATACTGCCATGTCAGCATAGCTTTCCAAATCTCCTTCCTAATTTTCTATTTTTTTTTAATTTTTTTATTTTTTTAATCCATCTAATTATTACAAGAACCAATCTTATAGGAAGCGTGTTTGGACTTCCAAAGCCCCTCTCGCCCACGTCTGCCATTAAATCTTATCTTATAAGAAGCCTAGGAATTTTGGACTTTCAAGCTTTTCTACAAAAATTCTTGGACTCCCATGCATGTTTCTCTTTTCTTTTTTTCGATCTGACTTTACTCACGTCTCAGATTCGAATTCACTCGAGCAGACGTGATTTAGCTTGGAAGAAGAATCTCAGCAATTTTCAATTTGCTTGCTTAAATCAGGTACGTATTTTTTTTTTTTTTTGCGAAAAAACAGATTTGATTAGGTGATTTTTTTTTTGCATTATTGGGTGAATTATTAAGTGTTTTCTGATGCTGATTATCAAAAATAAAATCGACTCATTAAAAAGCAGAGAAAACAACAATAAAAAATGAAAAAAGTTAACCGGGTCGTCACAGAACCCGTTTCAACGGTCGGGTGAAGAAGACAACAAAAATCGGGACCCGTTTTCGATAGAATACCGGGTACCTTCGAACCCGAACCGTTTTAAAACGGTTCGCACCAACCGTGCATTACACGATTAATTACAATAATTAATGTTGATAAACATTAATAATAATTAACGCCAACAAATTTAATGTTGATTACGTGGATTGGTTGTGAGATAATTAACGTCCAAACGTTAATAAATACTGTAATTAACGTCAACAAATTTAATGTTGATTACGTGGATTGGTTGTGAGATAATTAACGTCCAAACGTTAAAAATTACAGTATTTATTAATGTCAGCAAATTTAGTGTTGATTACGTGGATTGGTTGTGAGATAATAATTACAATATTATTTATTAGTTGACGTTAATAGTTACTGTATTATTTTAGTTACAACACCTTTCATAATTACAGTATTTTTCTAATTTTTAATAATTAACATTATTTTAAAAATACAGTATTTCTTAATTAACAGTATTAAATTAATTAACAGTAATTTCAATAAATACAGTATTTTGTTAATTACATTATTTAATTAAAAACAATTTATTTATTAAATAACAGTATTTTCAAAAAAAAATAGCCAAAAACTATGTAACTATGTTTCTGAAAATATGATAGTATGTAATTAACAGTATTTAATTTAAACTATTTAATAAATACATTATTTTTTTAAAATATATATATTTTTAATTAAAAGTAATTAACAGTAATCAATTATGTTTATTAACATTAACAATAATTAATTACTTTTAATGAATTAATTATTGTTAGTACAACATAATTGATTACTGTTAATTCATTAACAGTATTTATTAAATATAGTATTTACTGATTACAGTAAATAATCACGTGGCAATCGTAAACCACTCAAGCTGGTAGGTGTAATCTGAATTAGAGAAAGATCACACGAAGTGCCAGCTTGATCTAGTTCTCTGGAATTTGAAATTATAGAGGAGCAGAGAAGAGAATTTTGAAAGGAAGAAGAAGTATAGCAATGTGTTTATTTATAATTCTGTAGAGGTAATACAGCCAATTTTATAGCCAATCAAAGAAACAGAAATGGAAATGTCAATAACAACTCAAAAGGAAACAATGACCTAAAAAGCAACCAGCGATTTCTCGCCAAAATTAACATTAGCTCCAATGGCAATTCACTGTAATTATGCCGGATTTGCAGAGATTCCAAGGATACTGCATCAAATCTCCCCTCCTCCAGAACCTTTGTCCTCAAAGGTGAAAGAAGGAAACTGTTGTTTGAGGTCAAAATAGAACTCCCAGGTGGACTCTTCAGCAGGGTGATTGAGCCACTTGACTAAAACTTGAGTAGCGGCAACACAACCTCTCTTAACCATGCGCTTATCAATAATGGCTTCAGGAACCTTAGGAACACTCTGATCAATCATAAAAGGAGGCAAAAGAGAAGTTGAAATTGAGCCATGACATTTTTGGAGCTGGGACACATGAAAAATGTCATGAATCTGGGCACCGGCAGGCAAGCGCAACTTGTAGGCCACAACACCAATCTTATCAATGATCTAATAAGGACCCAAGTACCTAGGACTTAATTTCTGTTGAGGAGAAGAATTAAGAGTGCTTTGGCTATAAAGTTGGAGCTTTAGAAACACCATATCTTCAATTTGGAAGGTGTGTTCACTCCTATGCTTATTAGCTTGTTGTACCATGCGGTTCTGTGCATGATGTAAATGGAATTTCAAAGACTTAAAGGATGATTTCTCTGTGCTGCAAGCTTTGATCAACCTCAACTATCTTAGACTCCCCAGGAAGATATGGCAGATGTAGAGGTGGTGGTTGGCCGTATAAAACTTCATAAGGAATGGTTTGTAGAGAAGAGTGGAAGGTGGTATTATGTTCTTTAGTGAACACATATCAAGTATGTTTTCTATTTTTCTAGGGGTTAAATACTAATTTTTGAAAGTAAACTCTGTATCATTCTTTAGTTTTTTATTGTTCTGTATTATGTTCACAGAAAGTAAACTCTGTGACAACATTGGATAAATCCTATTTTAATAGTTTCAAGTACATTGGAAATAATGTTTTGAAGAGGTTTACAGATTGGTAGTGAGAACATTGGAGATAAGTTTTATTTTTCTTTGTTTTTCGTTTTTCATCTTATAGTAAGTTGGAGAGATAAGTTTCATTTTTCATTGCTTTGTGTTTTTCTTCTGAAATGCATCATTTTTCAATTTTAAGTTGGTTTTTCTTTGTTTTTGGTTTTTCTTCTTCCTTAGATTCTCAAATGTGACTTCGGTAACTCTTCTCCATTTCAGGTTGGTTTTCAGGCGCGCTTTCCACCAAGAAACATTTCGTTCAAGTTGGTTATGGCCTATAAAAGCTTAAAGAAACAACATCAATACACAGGTACGATTAAACTTCGTTCAAGTCGGTCCTGGCCTTTGAAAGCTTAAAGAAATAGTAGCAATAAACAGGTCTGACTCACTAAAATGTCAAAATCTGTAAAAAAAAAAAAAAAAACGAAAAAATGATAAAAAAGCGGGTCATTGCAGGACCCGTTTTAGCGTGTGGGTGAAGAGAACGATCTAATTGGGTTGTCTTCCACCCATTTTCAAAAATGTTGTTCAGATTATGATGCGGGTTTAGATATCTGTGTAATACACAGGTAAAGCAATTCGGGTATTACGCGGGTAGAGCAATCCGTGTATTATACGGATAGAGCAATCCGTGTAATACACGGATTACATAATAATAATAATAATAATATTAGTAATAATAATAATACTTTAAAAATTATAGTATTTTTAATAAATACTATATTTTATTAATTAAAAGTATTTTATTAACACTATTTATTAATTAACAGTAATTAACAGAAATTGTTTAACACTAATTATTAATTAACAGAAATTGATTAACACTAATTATTACTTAACAGTAACAATTATTAATTAACACTAATTAACACTAATTGTTACTAACAGTATTTATTAATTAACAGTAATTGAAAGAAATTGATTAACACTACTTATTAATTAATAGTAATATAATACACAGTACTTATTAATAATTTAGTATTTTAATAATTATAGTATTTACTGAAATACAGTATTAAATGTAATTTAGTGATATAATTTAGCATAAATGGCATTAGTGATGTAATTAATACTGTATTTTTTAAATACTATTAATTTTTCAAAATATTGAAACTGTAATTAAATATAATTTTATACATTAGTGATATCTATTATGCTATAAATAGCATAAAATTACAAGCAATAAATGATTTAATTAGAAGTATTTATAATTGCAGTATTTTTCTTAATTTCTAATAATTAACATTATTTTAAAAAATACAGTATTAATTTAATATTATTAGCTACAATATTTAATTAGAAATATTTATAAATACATTATTTTACCTTTTTTTACCAAATCCCGTGCATCGCACGGGTTCCCATTAGTATATATATAAAAAAAAAAAAAAAAAAAAATAGACGAACTTAAATCAGTGGAAAAGCGCTAGCGCCATACGCTCCAAATTATAGATACAAATTAGGGGCCATTAGATAGCAGCTGAAATCTGAACTGAATGATTTATTACCTCGTTTTTTAGTATATTAAGTCGTTAAGTGACTAATCTATGCAAATAGATTCTCTTCGATAGGATCTTTAATAAGAGATATGAAAATGCCCAAAATACCCATATAATTAGTATTGAGGCTGGTTTCTACAAAAAGAAGAATACAAACTTTATAAACAATAAACAAATAGATAATATATAATTTAGTACATTATACATTATATATATCGGGTCGGATCTGAATTGATTCGACACTAAGTGGAACCAATAGTAATGGGACCTTTATTAGGACCCGGAACCAATGAATCGGTTTCAATTCTTGGAACCAAAGTCGGCCCAATTGGTTCAAATCCATCAGATCGGGCCAACCCATTGACAACTCTACTCACATAGTGTGCCTACATCGGCCTCACAACCACATCCTACCATGTATTGGAAATATCTACCATAAATATCAATGGAAGTATAGGAGATATTCTTGATGTGCGGCCAGAACATCCTATGAGGTAGGGCTACAAGTTGGGTCGGGTTGAAGCCAATCCTAAATTCTAAACCCCCAACCCTAACCCTAACCCTAACTAAATTACTTCAACCCTAATCCAACCCAACCCAACACAAAGTCAAGTTCGGGTTGGGCTGGGCTCGGGYTTGGCCCAACCCAACCTTATTCCCATCCCTTAAAATCTTGTAGAACTTTTTAATCTTAGATCTTAACTCATCTTTCATTACATATATTAATCCTATGTTTTATTAGTATTTGTTTGTTGATGTTTTTATTGGTTCTTTAAGTACAAAATTTAGAAAAAAATATTTGAAATGACTTTAGTTTATTATGATAACTTATAATAGGTCTTTTATGGGCAGCAACCTATGGGTGGCAAACAACAAAGAGGAGATAAAGAATAAGATATTCAAAAAAGCATAAAATATGTTATCAAGGTTTTAGTATTTCCATATAGGATTGAGTGAAGTGATTATCAAAAATGACATAAATAATAGTATGTAGGGGTGGCTATACAACTATCGTGCATCTAAGTAAATCAATATATGATATAATCATATATGTACTATAGAGTCGGGTTTGGGTTGGGTTGGGTTGCCCGAGAGGTCAACCCTAACTCAACTCAAAATAAAATCGATTTCATAAATTTCAACTTTAAGATTGGGTTCAGGCTAACCCGGTCCAAGTTTTAGCCTTACTATGAGGTCGGTAGGAATGGCAACGGGGCGGGTTCGGGGTGGGGAATGTAATCCCCACCCCGACCCTGACCCCCAAATCACCCCCCATCCCAATCCCTGATCCCTTGTGGGGAAAGGAATCCCCCCTCCATCCCTGACCCTGATGGATATGGACTCCCATCGGAGACTCAAATCCTCGAATTCCCCATCTTCTCTCTTTTTATTTTAATTATAATTTTCATGTACTACTAAAAAATTAGGAACTCTCTTGTATCCAACAGTATATAGAGATGATATACAAGCAGCTTAAGCTGATTGAACACTAAGTTGGTGAAATGGGAGACAGTTCTTTCGAGGCCATAAATCTCTGTAATTGAATATGTTGAAAAAGTTTGATGAAATTGACAACCATGAGATTTAATAAGTTGTAATCACTTCAAAACAAAATGATACAAAATGATTGAAGATAAAACGGGTTTGGGAAAAAAAAAAAAAAACTAAATCGAAACTTATGGGTGTCAATGTCGGACAAGGAAGAGAAATTAATCAAGGTTGCTAGAGAACAGCATAAAGGTGATGTCTATTTTGCTATTATGCTATAAATAATATAAAATACATTAGTGATATCTATTATGCTATAAATAGCATAAAATTACAAGCTATAAATGATTTAATTAGAAGTATTTATAATTGCATTATTTTTCTTAATTTCTAATAATTAACATTATTTTAAAAAATACAGTATTAATTTAATATTATTAATTACAGTATTTAATTAAAAATATTTATAAATATATTATTTTACCTTTTTTACCAAATCCCGTGCATCGCACGGGTTCCCACTAGTATAAATAAAAAAAATAGACGAACTTAAATCAGTGGAAAAGCGCTAGCGCCATACACTCCAACTTATAGATACAAATTAGGGGCCGTTAGATAGCAGCTGAAATCTGAACTGAATGACTTATTACCTGTTTTTTAGTATATTAAGTCGTTAAGTGACTAATCTATCATAAGAGATAATACATTAGTCTCTTTTTACCCAAAAGTTACTCCCGTTGAAACATTAGTCTTTCAATTAAGCCAATTCAACCATTTTCTTTTTTTTTTTTTTCGTAAATTATTGAAACCTCTCCTGAAGTTTATGCCATTGCTAAAACTTCTCTAAAGTTAGATAGTTACACCCATTTCTTTTTAACTTTTTGACATAATTGCAAATAGATTCCCTTCGATAGAATCCTTTAATAAGAGATATGAAAATGTCCAAAATACCCATATAATTAGTATTGAGGCTGGTTTCTACAAAAAGAAGAATACAAACTTTATAAACAATAAACAAATAGATAATATATAATTTAGTACATTATACATTATATATATCGGGTCGGATCTGAATTGATTCGACACTAAGTGGAACCAATAGTAATGGGACCTTTATTAGGACCCGGAACCAATGAATCGGTTTCAATTCTTGGAACCAAAGTCGGCCCAATTGGTTCAAATCCATCAGATCGGGCCAACCCATTGACAACTCTACTCACATAGTGTGCCTACATCGGCCTCACAACCACATCCTACCATGTATTGGAAATATCTACCATAAATATCAATGGAAGTATAGGAGATATTCTTGATGTGCGGCCAGAACATCCTATGAGGTAGGGCTACAAGTTGGGTCGGGTTGAAGCCAATCCTAAATTCTAAACCCCCAACCCTAACCCTAACCCTAACTAAATTACTTCAACCCTAATCCAACCCAACCCAACACAAAGTCAAGTTCGGGTTGGGCTGGGCTCGGGYTTGGCCCAACCCAACCTTATTCCCATCCCTTAAAATCTTGTAGAACTTTTTAATCTTAGATCTTAACTCATCTTTCATTACATATATTAATCCTATGTTTTATTAGTATTTGTTTGTTGACATTTTTATTGGTTCTTTAAGTACAAAATTTAGAAAAAAAGTATTTGAAATGACTTTAGTTTATTATGATAACTTATAATAGGTCTTTTATGGGCAGCAACCTATGGGTGGCAAACAACAGAGAGGAGATAAAGAATAAGATATTCAAAAAAGCATAAAATATGTTATCAAGGTTTTAGTATTTCCAATTAGGATTGAGTGAAGTGATTATCTTAAATGACATAAATAATAGTATGTAGTGGTGGCTATACAACTATCGTGCATCTAAGTAAATCAATATATGATATAATCATATATGCACTATAGAATCGGGTTTGGGTTGGGTTGGGTTGCCCGAGAGGTCAACCCTAACTCAAATCAAAATAAAATCGATTTCATAAATTTCAACTTTAAGATTGGGTTCAGGCTAACCCGGTCCAATTTTTAGCCTTACTATGAGGTCGGTAGGAATGGCAACGGGGCGGGTTCGGGGTGGGGAATGTAATCCCCACCCTGACCCTGACCCCCAAATCACCCCCCATCCCAATCCCTGATCCCTGGCGGGGAAAGGAATCCCCCCTCCATCCCCGACCTTGACGGAGATGGATTCCCATCGGAGACCCGAATCCTTGAATTCCCCATCTTCTCTCTTTTTATTTTAATTACAATTTTCATGTACTACTAAAAAATTAGGAACTCTCTTGTATCCAACAGTATATAGAGAAGATATACAAGCAGCTTAAAGGCTGATTGAACACTAAGTTGGTGAAATGGGAGACAGTTACTTCGAAGCCATAAATCTTTGTAACTGAATATGTTGAGAAAGTTTGATGAAATTAATGATTGAAGATAAAACAGGTTTGGGAAAAGAAAAAACTAAATCAAAACTTATGGGTGTCAATGTTGGACAAGGAAGAGAAATTAATCAAGGTTGCTAGAGAACAACGTATAGGTGATGAGAAAGAATCCAAAGGGTGACGATGACGATGACAAAGGTTGAAGGGAGATCTTTGAGTAGCTCTTCTCTGTCCTCTATCGAGACTCGAGTATCTCTGTCCATTCCTTTGTCCAATGTCCGACGGGTGAGTAGTGGCAATTAGCGATGGCGATCGATGAATCAGCGCCAAAGACAAAGCTAGGGTTTTCAGTCGTCTCTCTAGTCTCTTCTCTCTATCGAAGACTCGAAGTCAATTTTTATTCGAAAGGTTTTACTATTCGAGTGTTTGTGTTTTACTTTTTTTAAGTTTTAATCTTTTAAAAAACGAATAATAAATTAATAATAATTATAATTATATAATATAATATAAATATTATATTATATATAATTTATAATTATAATATTAATCGAGGCCAAATTGGGGCAGGGATTGCATTCCCCATCCCCGTCCCCGAACCTCATCGGGGATTCAGGGATCCCCCCATTCCCGGGGAAAATTGCCAATTTGCCACCCCTAGAGGTTGGTGTGGACGCGTCCAGATCTACTGGCATTTCTTTTTTGAGCGTTATACGTATCTTCCAAATTCCAAAGCACCTCACTCTCGACTCCTCCACTGTACCATCATAGATCATCTAGTATTTGATCGGATGGCCCAGTTTTGAGAAGCAACAAAGTAGTTGCCAGATGATCCTAATCCTATGGTTGACCAATCCATCGATTGAACAAAAACAAAACTATCCAAAGAGACCCAGTTGTGATAAACTTCTTGGGTTCTTCCGTTTCCATAAAATAAAGATCAATGAAAGAACAACACGTCAACACGGACACGGATCATCTTCCAGTTCCAGGCTTCCAGCCCTCCCCTCCTCTCCGCTCCCCAGCCTACTAAATACTAAAAGTCTAAAACGGTAAAGAATGTAAAAAAAAACCCTTGGCTAAACCTAAGCAGAATTAGAAAGCACCTAAATTAAAATTCCAGGGAGGAAGAACAACATGGGCAACACCATGCCAACTCCAGGGAGACGACGTCGTCGGAATCCCAGAAAGCAGGATGAGCAAGGGGAAGAGCGAGAAGAACAACAAAGAGAAGCAGAGGCGGAAAAGCTTCCATGCTTCACCTGTGAGATTTGTATAGAGCCCACCCCACAAGACAAGAAATTCAAGAATAAGAAGAGATGTTCTCATCCTTTCTGCTTGGATTGCATATCCAAGTTCATCGATGCAAAAACTGACGACAACATCACAGCGGTTAAATGCCCAGACCTAAATTGTAACAAGGTCTTGGACCCTCTCTCCTGTCGTCCGATCCTCCCCGCCCGAGTTTTCAACAAATGGTGCGACCTGCTTTGTAACGCGACAATCCTCAAGTGTGAACGCGTCTACTGTCCTTACCCAGACTGCTCGGAGCTGGTGCTCAACGAGTGTGGGGGGAGAGTTAGGAAATGCGAGTGCCCAAACCCAAATTGCAAGAGATTGTTCTGTTTCCGCTGCAAGCTTCCATGGCATGCGGGTTACCGGTGCGATGAGAGCGGGGTTACCAGAGATAGCAACGATCTTTTGATCGGCCAGGTCGTTGAGACTAAGCAATGGACAAGATGTCCGGGCTGCGGCCACTCCGTGGAGCTGCTTCTCGGTTGCCCAATCGTTCGATGCAGGTCTGCTTCTTTTTTCCACTGCCCTCACCCTCCTCCCCAATCTTCTGTTTCTTATTATTTCATTATTTTTTATTTTATTATTATTTTTTTGTAGAGGATGGGTGGTGGTGTTTGTGACTTACAGCTTGATCAAAAGAACTTCTAATGTCTTACCCTTTGATAATGCAGGAGCAGAACAGCCCTCGTTTTGATTTTTGATTTTTTGATTTTTTTATTTTTTGGGAAACCTAGGGTTTGGAATTTTGGGGTTCGTAGAAGACTCGAACAAACAAATCACAAATCTTCTAAGAATAATAATCGGTCCCAACTGAGAGACATGTACTATATGTTAATCAAAGCCGAAAAAAAAGAAAGAAAAATAAGAATATTTACAAAATACACTAGTGTTCTTCCTCCTATAGAATTTAGAAAAAATAATCTGGGCTTATGGAGACTGTAGGTGAGGATGTTAAAAATTATTGCTTGAGGATTGAGAAACCCCGTGCTCAGCATTATTCTACCACTTAGTTTTATTAAAATGATTTAATAATAATGGTGTAATTGTGACGGGGAATACTGAATAGTTAAAAGTTAAAACTATCCTAAATGGAAAAATATAAATTTTGGAAAATCAAGCATTAATTATTAATTAATTATGAATTAATAAAGCAAATTAAAAAGGAATGAGGGAGGGAAGAAATGGTCAAAAAGAAAAACTGGAGAATGGAGGAGTGCAGTGGGATGGGCATGGGCATTAGCCTACAAAGAAAATCAATAAGATAGGAGATACAGAGACAAAAAAGATAGATTAAAAGTACTGGCTGCAACCACTACTCCAAATGTTTCTTAGCAATCTCCAGATTTATATATAATAATCAATCAAGAGAACAAGTTCTCAAATAATTACATCTGGGTCGTTGGCCCCAAGTCCCCAACTCTTGTATGTTGCATTTTTCTCTCTCTTTTAATTTTCCTTTTCCTGATTTCTTCTCTGTTGATTGGTGTATTACATGATGTGTTGTTTTCAAATCCTTGTTGATGCAGATGCGGCACCCTGTTCTGCCATGCTTGTGGAAGAAAGCTCTCTTCCCATTGGTGTTGGTGCAAAAGAAATTTGAGGAACAATCTACTTTTCATTTCTCTTATGCTCTTTGTGTTCTTCCTGCTATGGATGTTACTTTTCCGTTTTCGAAAGTTTAAAGCCTAATAAGCAAATTACATGCTCAATTCTTTAGTTATAGTATAGCAAAACCTTCTTTTGTTTCAGAGAACGTTATTCATACATGCATATACACTTGGAAATAGCCTCTCTAGTGCAGGGTAAGTCTGTATACATCTGTCCCTCCGCAAGGGCTGCTCTTATTTATATATACACGTATAGATGAAATTATAATGAATTTTTTGTTTCCATTCCACCATGCTTTTTGCTTCATTTCATTCACCTGCTGATAGCAGGAATATTTCCAACTCTTTCTCATTTGTTTCTTAACCATTGGAATAATTCAAATACGTTACTCTCAATCCCAAGGAGATGTCAGGCCAGGTGCTTAGTAAATTGCTTGTAAGACGTTGGTTAATGATTCAGTACCAATAACTACTGACTACCTTTCGATCTTGATACAACATTTTCTTTCTTAATCAGCTCAACTCTTTTTTTTTTAATCTTTTGATAACTAAATAAACTTCATTAACCAACGGAAACAAAAGATGCAGTATTATTATCCTTCATCAGCAAGCCAAACCCCCTTATCTTGCGATCATTGCATAAATTGCGGTATCTGATGTGCATGTGCACCACTATTAATTTTCAGCCGTTATAATTCTGCTTTTTAGTTATCAAAAAAATAAAAAGATTTTTGGGAGTGGGGACACGAACAAACAGACTCAACTCAACCGCTCAGAAGTGTTACAACTTAAACATCTAATGCCTCATTGGTTTGTAGTTAAATATATATGGAAAAGTTTGGTTAATGGGTAAATTTTTTTCATTCACTAATTTTTTTATGTTCTTTTTGCATTAAACAATAAGTCCTACAAGTAATAAAGTTATTTTTACTTTTTTGGATAAAATTTATCCATATCTTAAGTGGATGAATAATTTTTCCAGCTGGGAAAAATTTTTACAAAACTTGATGGGACCATTTTACTCATTTTAATAGTTACTTTTGGTGGATAGAAATGTCATTTTATTACTTACCCAGGTAAGCTTCACCCTTACAAACAAATGGGGCTTAAAATATCAAAAGAAGGCTAAGAAACGCCATTTTCTCTCTTCCACTCAGAACCAAGATTTACTGCTCACTTTCTCTATCCACACCCTACCCATGGTACACTTCAGCCGCACATCTCACAATAAGATGGTTATTTGTGGCTGTAATTCAAGCGGGTAAAGTGTGGGGGCATAAAGAGTTGTGGGCATTCTCTTTTGCTTGGAAAAAAAAAGAAGAGAGTTGTGGACACTGGACAGGAAATCCGTAATGTTCCATTCAAGGCCTAATCCACAAGCAGATAATAAGGGAGCTGCAAAACAAATTGCTTTGTAGAACGCTGTTAGATATGCATACACCGCTCCCATTTATCACAAAATTTGACTATGTGAAACATCATAAAGCGAATTATGAGTAGAAAAAAAAGGAAAATAAAGGGCAAATTACTTATATGTACACTGCGGCTTTCAAAACTATTAGTGTTGGATCCTTCATTAGTGAAACGTTTTAAGACCGTTTCCACTGCATCATACATTTTGTCATAATCCCTGTTTTGCCCCTTCCATGGTTGAAAATATCATTCTTTTAAAGATGGAACCCAAACTTTGGTTTACGCCTTTTTGTATTTGTCTTGCATTCTAGAGAGAGATTTCTGGGGTTGTGTTCATATTCCTTTTGGTTCACAAACACAATCAGTGTTCTAAAAGATTATGAAAAATATCTTTTTAACTCAACAATATGATTCAAAAAGAAGGCTGATGTGACTAAGTGATTTTGTGTATCTTGAGGGATGTTACCACATAGTATAAAATAATACATATATATATATACTTTTTAACATATTATTATACATGGATATAACATTAAATAGAACAAATTGGTGAAATAAGATTCTGTGTAATTGTAGCTGATTCCGTATAAGTGAGATAGGGCTTGGGTGATGACGATGATATTTATTTTTTGTATATTATATTATATTTTAATGTGATATATAATTGTTGACATATGATGATAAATGGCCGTATGATCAAAATTGAATGGTGATAGATGAATTGCTATTACACAAAACAGGTGACAATGTATTGAGTTCAAAAAAATGAACCATGAACATAACAAAAGTTATGGTTCTATATGATTTATAAAACAACCACAACTATACATAGCAAAATTGATTAAAAATCATTATTTTCGTTTTAAAAAAGAGGTGGTATGGTTGTGGTTTGGAACACAACCATTTTTTCAACCATAAACCGAACACCAAAATTACCCTTTTCATTTTTAAATTCTCAGTGCTTCGTTTATAACCGGCCAAATCGAGCCTCCAAAAAAAAAAAAAAAAAGAATCACCTTTTCTTTACGTAAATGAGCTTATTGGTTAATCCAATCAATGTCAAATTGTTACAAATTATATAAAATAATAAATTAAACAAAAAAACTAAGCATATTTATTTTTCTTACCAATCCATTATGCACCACAGATCTACAATACTATATGTGGGATCCACATATTTTGATAGATTAGAGTTGCAATGGATTTGAATTGAATCTTATCTGTCGGATTCGGATCAGATTGGGATCCATGTGATTATCTCATGCAATTAATAATTAATCTAAAATAATCAGATTACTGAACTAGAAATGACTGATGTTATATATCGCGAACAAAATAACTCCAGCGAATGATATTCAAACCAATTTTAATATATATATATATATATATATATATATATATATATATATATTAATGAAATTGGAGATTGTTTATAGCTCTATGATAAATGGAGGATCCACTTAGAAAGACATAATATTTGTAAGGCATATATGAAAATAGATTAGCTATCTGGTGGTACAGTGGATGCCATGCAGGGATATTCCATCTCTGTGGTGTAAGGTGCATTTTTTATGGAAGAAAAAAAAAAGAAATTTATGCTTAACATTTTTCATTCAAAAAACCCTGCTTAATTAATCTTCTCCTTCCTCCTCTTCACTTCATTTCCCATTTCGTGTTTAATTTCCAAACATGTAGGTGATCCAATTTCATACATTTTATCTACAGAATTTATTAGTTAAAACTGGTGAGATGACAATCCTATTTTATTTTGCACAAGCCATCATCTTGGAGTATATTTTGCCTTTGATTAATTTCTGTTGATTCTTTTTAGATATATATAGTTTTTTTTTTTCCTTTTGGAAAAAAGAGTGTCACTATGGGGTGCTTTTTGCTTTTCCATTGTTAGCTGTAAAAGTATTGATGTACTACGTCACATGGATGCTAGCTAGCTAGGTTCATTTGACACAAACTATAAATTAAAAATTCTCTTTTTATCTTTCGGCTATGGGCAAAATGTCACTTTATGTTGTCTTAATGGCCAAGGAATTCAATTTATTTTATGTTTTTTTTTTTCTTTTTCCTTGCATGCATAACTAGAACTTTTAGTTCTTTATTTCTTCTTTTCCGTATTTATTACTATTATTAGTTAAGCCCCCACTTCATCTTTTTCTTTTTAGTTTTTGATTATATGTAATCCTAATTATTCACTATGAATGGTGACATAAAACGGTGGATGGATATGTTTGATTAAACAAAAATGTAAAGGGACAAGAGATGGATGGAAAAATGTTACAGATAATAAAACTTGTTTTGAGTGCAAAATTATCACAGTAGGAGAGGAGAATGAATTGTTAGTAATAAATGATATTCCCTTCCTTGCCCCTTACTCCAAACAAATTAACTCAAAGCAATATATATTAAGGATATATCATAAATAATCATGTAAAACAACAAGTTAGAGATGATGATCTACAAATCTATGTCCTCTCTCAAATCTCAATCTCCACTTTGTAATTCTATCTCCAGTACTTGCTATTAAACATGTAGACATAAAACTTATGAGCAAAGCATATATATATATATATATATATATATGCATGCTTCCCATAACCTGGTAGTGCCTTGACTCTCTAATTCCAGTTCACCACCACCACCACCACCTACTACAACTACTCTCTCATTCTTGTAATATTCAAGGTTTCAATCACTCCTCGATGGAAAACCCACCTTTGGATGAACTTTACTTATCTGCTCTCGCAGATGGAGAGGTGATGTTTCCCATATCAGACGAAAAATATGCAGAAGAGTTGCAGTTTCAGGAAGTTCTAATGTCCTCAATAATCTCTTTTCGAATGGCAGCTGCTGGAACATCGACAATGGAAGGACAGCTCATGGAAGGTATCACGTCTTCTCAAATGGATGCTGGCTCGTTGGGAATAGTAGAACCGCCCATGGAAGAGGTCGGCTGTTCTCAAATGGGAGATGAAGTATCCAGATTGGAGGCACAAGAGAAGCACAGGATAGATACGAAACTAATGATCAAAAGACGAAAAATAGAACCCGGTGAGTCCTCTCAGTGCTTCTGCGAGATTTGCATGGAAGGCAAAGCGGCAGCAGAGATGTTCAAAAACAAGACATGCACTCATTCCTACTGTACCGACTGCATATGCAAATATGTCGCAGCAAAAATCGAGGAGAACGTTAACATGGTAAAGTGCCCAGATGTGAATTGTGAAGGGTTGCTGGACCCTGATCATTGTCGGGCAATTATCCCAGAAGAAGTGTTTGATCGATGGGGTAAAGCCCTGTGCGAGTCAGTTATTCTAGGGTCACTGAAGATTTTTTGTCCTTTCACGGACTGTTCGGTAATGCTACTGGACGATGGAGGACAAGTTGTCAAACAGTCGGAGTGCCCCAATTGCCGGAGATTGTTTTGTGCTCAGTGTAAGGTTCCATGGCATTCGGGAATTGGGTGTGAGGAGTTTCAGAGTTTGAATGAGGGTGACAGAAAGAAAGAAGATCTCATGATGATAGAACTTGCTAACAACAAGAAATGGAGGCGATGTCCACAGTGTCACTACTTTGTGGTGAAGAAAGATGGTTGTTTACATATTACTTGCAGGTCATCGCAAAACACACCTCAAGGGGCTTTGTTTAATTGTGCTTATCTTTGCCTTAATTATTTGTTTTTTTTTTTTTTCACTTTTTGCAGGTGTAAGTTTGAATTCTGTTATGGATGCGGCCGTAGATGGTCGCCATCTGAAAATCATGGAGGTTGCCGGAGCGAATAGATCTAGTAATAAAGTTGGGAGAGAAAGAAACGAAAACAGTTTCGTTGGAGTACTGGATGGATGGTGAGGATTGAATTATAATGAATGACATCTCAGTTTAATTGTAGATGTATGTTTAAACTTTAAATTAGGGTGTGGAACTAGAACGATTCTGGTGTGCAACTATCTATGAATTGAAGGTTTATGCAAGTCTTAATCAATTTATGTGAATGTTTCAATGAGTTGCTACTTACCAAAATTGTCTAGATTTTTCTTTGGGTAAAAAAATTCCAAATTCTTGCCACTAAAGACAACATTAATTATTAAAAGAACTGATTTGTTTATTTTTTCGGTGTAATCAATTTACAGTCTAATTGATTGAAAAAAAAAAAGTAAAGGAAAGTCCACCTTCTTTTGGTTAAGAATATGTTGGGATAAGACTTGACTTAGACAATGAGAATTTATATATGATGATGACACCCTCTGAGTTTAGAATTAATTACAAAGTAAGCAGTCCTTGACTCCTAAGGATGATCATACGACATGATTAATGTATTGTCTAGGGACTAAAATGATATTAAACCTAAAACAAAGGGTATTAATTAAAAAATTTTCTATTCTTTTTTTTTCTTGCTTTTCATATCTCTGTTTTATATCATTATTTTGCACAATTTGTATATGTATTTAGTTTTTGCTTGGTGTTTTTAAGGAAATTGACCGGGGGAAGTTGATTGGTCACAGCTCTTCCAATCCGGCAACATAGATTTTTTTTTCCCCAAAAAATACGGTTTTTTTAACTTGTAACCAATGAATATCAATATCTTTCCGCAACATAGATTTTTGATGAAGTTATATGTTAACATGAGAATTAGATCCTCGATCCTTCTTTAATGGCTAAGATGGAAGGAGCGAAATCGTATTTACAAAGTGAAACTAGCATTGCTATATACCCCCTAACCCAATCCCTATCCCCATGGGCCCATACGCCCACACGCCCATACCAATTGACTCCTCGTGGGGATTTTTACGGATCAGTCCACTTCAGAATTGGGAAATTTTTTTCCCAAATGTATTTACGCTTATTTCCACTGGCCTCTTTCCCCTTGATACTGATCCAAACTGTACGATGAATTTTGAGATGGAGTGGATCGTAAAAAACCCCTCATTATGACAATCGGGATTTGATCCGTCCCATCCCTGCTATCACCGGCAGAGACTGTATTCATTGTCAACTGATAAGTAAGATTATTTTTTTACATGCAAAAAAAATTCAACCCCATTAACCCACACTTCGCTGTAAGGCTGCAAGTCGGATCGAGTTAGTCTGGGTTGAGGCCAATCCCAACCCTATCTTTAACCTTAATCCAATCCGACTTTCATCTTGATCTACCTAACCTTAACTCTAACTAAATTCTTTCAATTCCAATTCAACCTGAAGTTTAGACTGGGCTCGGGTTGGGCTCAACCCAACCTTCTTCCCATCCCTTAAAATCTCATAAAACAATTCAATCTCAAATTTTAACTCACTTTTCATTATATATATTAATCCTATGTTTTATTAGTATTTATTTGTTGATGTTTTTATTGGTTCTTTTAGTACAAAATCAAAAAAATAAGTGTTTGAAATGATTATAGTTTACTATGAATTATGATTTATGATAGATATTTTATAGGCGCCAAGCATTAGAGAGGAGACGAAGAATAAAATATTCAAAAAATATAAAATATGTTATTAAGGTTTTAGTCTTTACATTTAGGATTAAGTGAATTGATTTATCTTAAAAGAAAGACATGATAGTATGTGGTGACGGCTATACAACTATCGTACATCTAAAAAATCAATGTTATGATAATATATATATATATATATATATATATATATATATATGACATATACTATAGAGTTGGGTTCGGGTTATCCAAGGGGTCAACCTTAACCCAAACCAAAATAAAGTCGGGTTCATGAATTTCAATCTTAACCCTAACTCAAGCATCAACTCGACTTTTTTAGGTTGGGTTTGAGCCAACCTGGCCCAAGTTGTAGCCTTACTTCGCTGGAGTTGGACACCCTCAAGAGAAAGATGAATGACCCATATTTAGAAAAAAAAAAAAAAACGTCAGTACTTAAATACATGGGGCGCATCTTTTGATGAGGGTAGTTTCCAATGACACGTAACACTCTGAAATCGTCTCATGGCATTTCAGAAACACCTTAGGCACACTTCGCCCACCTTCAATTGTTCTAGAGCCACATCATCTGAGCCGACCTACGGACATCTTGACAGGGTCAAGTCAGCGTAGGAGGCGATTTGCCTAAGACCCGATTGGCAACCTACGTGATGTGGAGGTCGATCTCCTTCAAATGTAGGCTTCTGTCCCCAATTCCTCTAGGATCACGTCGCCTCGACAATAGAACTGACTCCCGCCCTACCCGCTTCAGAGGCATAGAATTACCAACGAATGAGATAAGTTGGAGATTTCGGACGCACTATGTGAAGCCCAGCGCCTATATAAAGGCATCCATTGTTAAGAGAAGGGACACAATTTATCTCTCAAATTCTCTTTCTCGCTTTCTACCTCTCTCATACACTCATCACTAACTTAAGCATCAAAGCACTCACCCCGAATAAAATGCCCCAAATACAATAACAGTTTTTTTGTAGTTTGACCAACCAACCTAATCAACCCAATGTCTGAACTGTCATTGACCAAGGAGTTCTAGATCGTGCTCCATCATCCACAGCCCGCTGAACACCTAAAGCGTTCAGCTAACCCGAATTCCATTGGGAGAGGAGTCCGTGTTCTGTGCACCCATGGGTGCACTGCACGCATGAGCCCACCAATAAGAAGCTACCACGTAGCATTTTGCATTTTGGTTTTAGTTAACGGGCGTTCTACCGTTAGCAATTGGAATCCGGTTGAACCGGATACAAAAGGACAAAAAATACATTAGATCCATTTGAACTCCCCCTTCCTCATCTCAGAAACATCCCACATCCCACAAACAATCTCACTTTACACTGGCATTCGTGGACGCGAAATCCACCGGCGGCGGTCTATCGGTAAGAAGAGAATCTTCTTCCTTCTTTAAACTCCCTCTTCCTCTTCCTCCTCTCCTCCACCAAGCCCTAACCCAGAAACATCTCACATCCCACCGACGAGGGTATGACAAGCTTCCATGTTGCTGGCATCTGCAAACTGTTTTAAGAATCAATGAGATGATTCAGACCAGTTTTTTCCTTTCACGGAAAAGGCTTTTAGAGAGGCTTTTGACAATACGAGAGGATGAAGACATAAACTATGAAATCAAAGATCAGAGAAAAATTCAAAAGGTTTACCACTAATTACTTTTAAATCAATAAAACCAAAAGGGAAAAATCAGAGCCTAGAGGAAACAAATCCTCTTCTGTTATTTTTCATCCTAGTAAAGTTACTAGAAAGAGATGCAGCCATTAATCAGGCCGTTAGAGAGAAAGATTAATAAGAACATTCATAAATTTGGAAGGACATGCAGCAGTGGAACTGAGCTTGTATAAAATAGTTCAAATTCGGGACGTGTTAACTCATAAAAGAGGAAGAAGAGGAATAAAGAGAGGAGGAAGAGTAATGGGAGGAAGAAAAATAAGAAGAATATTGACCACTTACCGCCGGACAGCTGCTAGTGGATTTTGCGTCTACGAACGCCGGTGTATAATGAAATCGCCGGTGGGATGTAAATGTTTATAAGTTAAGGCTCGGTGAAGGAAAGGAAGGAGTCTGATGCTGCACGATCTAAGCACTCTTAACTGGATGAAACTTGGCTCCTACCAGTGACAGACGACACCTGAGATAAAGAGGAACGTGAAGGGTTCCCGGGGAGCTTTCCCGGTGGGAACACTCCGATGGCTAAGTTAGAACTCTGAGGAAAACTCAAGGAAAACACAGAGAGAGTTAAGAGTGCTGAAAGTTTGAGCTTCAATACCTTTGCTTCGCAAGGGTCGGGGTCCTCTTATACCGGAGCTCAATCACATCAGGCGTAACCACCACTGCCCTAGCCGTTACTACCAGGGCTGAGATGGCGGGTGCAGGCTGCTGCTGCAGGGTACAGACCCGTCAGGCGTGCCATGCTTTTCAGAGATGGCAGGCATGACGCCGCCTGGCGAGAGACGTGGGCGCTGCCACCAGATCCGGCAGGTACGGATGTCAGGCAGATCTTACCTGCAGGTTGCCGAGCTACTTTGCACTGAACCGCCTGGGGCTGAGTTACCCTGCACCGAGGTGCCGAGGTACCCCGAGGTGCTCACACTGGAGGCGAACCTTAAGCAAGTAAGAATAGGAGTGTCGACGGTGCTGTCCCGAGGTGTTTCTCCCTCGGGACACTTAGCCAAAAGTTGGGGTGCTCCCTTCTTAGGAAGGGAGAGCTCGGAGCCCCTTAGGAGGAGCTCAGGTCCCTTTGCACGGAGGGAGCTCGGGGCGCTCCACCCTCAGGCTTGGGGTGAGCTGGGCCTTGCTTCTCGGCGAGATGTCACACCCGCCGAGCCGTTCGGCTGGGCCTTGGTGAGCTTGTAACGCCGAGTTGTGGCCAGGCTGTCGCGCCGAGTTGTCACTTATGCCAGGTCATGCCCACATGTCCCCGTGCTACAAGGTCGGGCCAAATCACCCTACATCAATTGCCCCCCACTCCCCGTGCTGGGGGTTCTGACCCAGCGCGGGGAGTCCGCGGTCTACCGGGTGGATTTGGCTCGAGGCCTGAGCCTTCTTGTCCGCCAGCTCATCGGTTGGACCGGTTCTCTGCTCGGCTCAACCAGGCGCAGCCCGGGTCGCGTATGGTTATGGTCTACGCGCGGACGTCACACGACTTATGGACTCCGCGGACGTCAAAAAACGCGCTAAACCGATTTCGCCTCGAGGGTCTCGCAACCGGTTTTTATGAGGACCGTTAGATCGCTTCGATCCCAACCGTTGATGCTTGCGTACAGTGGCTATAAATAGCGGGTGTCCTGGCCATTTTTCCTTCGTCACAAATCTTCAGCCATAGTCTTGAGCTCGCATCCAAAGCCTCCAGCTCGGGTCAGTTCGTCCCATCTTGGTCATCTTTCTTTGGTGAGTCACCCTAGCTCCTTTTCCTTCAAATCCGTTATGTCTTCTTTTGATAGTCAGCTAGATGAGCCCGAGGTGGGTACCTCGGCTCAGGGTGACCCTGCTGGAGTCCAGTCTCCCGAGGCGCGGGAGGCCTCGGGTAACTTGGCATCCACCTCTCACC